TCCCTTATCATTATTCCCTAAACAATACACTATTTTTTTGTGTGGTATGGAGGATTGAACACAGGGCCTTTTGTCTGAGCTGTATCCTCAGACCCTTTTAATTTGAGACACGAGCTCACTAAATCACTAAAATGCCCAAGTTGGGCTCAAACTTGTAATCCTTCTGCGTCAGCCTCCCAGAGTGCTGAGATGAGTCATGCGCCACGGTACCCAGCTCCCAGGCAATGCAGTACAACAATCATTTGCATCACATGGGTGTTCGAAGTAATCTAGAAATGATTTGAAGTACTCGGGAGGATTGAATAGGTTTTAGGTGAATACTATGCCGTTTCACATAAGGGAATTGAGCATTCACGGATTTTGTACCCTCAGAGTTCCTGGAACCCATCCCCACGGATACTGCGGGACAAAAGTGTATACAGTTATTAGTCAGTGTAAGAAAAGACCAGTGCTGAACGTTATAACCAGCACTTTCAGAAAAGATGAATGAGAGCTCCGTGCAGTTCTTTCCTTTTTTGTTCGTTTCTGTCGATGCATGCCATTCCTAAATATAAGAAGAAAAGTGGGCTGTCTTGGTACCGCTAAATCTCATTCTGCTTTACTGATCTAATTATATCATTCTCTGTGACTGACACAGGTATCACGTAAATATCCACACTTGCATTCTTCTGAATTTAATTAAAAGAACAGCTCTGATTACAGGGAGCAAAAAGCAATAGAGTTCATATTCTCAAAATGAAACATTTCATGATTTTTTTTAAAATACAGATTTATTAGGAATTAGGCTTATTAGAAAGTTCTTGGAAAAAAAGAGGAGGCAAAACTTTGTTAAAGAAGTTTTGGGAAATGTATACGCATAAAGCACAGTTAGAAAGACAGAAATCTACTTGTACTCTGTAGCTGCCAGGGAAGTAAACATTTTGCATCCAGGTGTTATGAGCAGCCTGGGGTTTGCAGGCCTCTCTATAGCTTGGTTCTGGACAGTGTGTACCAATAGTTAAGCCCTGCTTGATCAGACAAATGCATCTCAGCTCACTGCAGAGAGAATTTGCAATCAAGTCAAAATGGGGCTCTGGTAAAGCAAACCCTGAGACCTGCTTTCTCACTGCCCAGCCTCCTAGCGAGAAGCTGAACAGTAGTCCCAAGGTGAGCAGGCTTGTCAGCGTTTGCATTTATGTCTTCCTCAGGGTCCACCTCTCCCTCAGCTCTGAAGATTTCTAGAGGCCTTAACTAGAATTCTGTCCACAACCCCCAGGCCACTGTGCACAGTCCCATCTAGGACTAAAAGTGCCTTCGGCCTGACAGCCCTCGCAGCCCTTGCCTTCCCATCTCTAGCCCCCAGGACGGTGATGGCGAGCCTTTTAGGGCTTTCAGTGATGGTAAACAGCCCTGTGACCCTGGTGCCACACTGCCCTAGGCCTTCTTCTTCCTCTGCCCCCTGCAACCAGAGCCCACTTTCTCCCTCCCTTCTCTACAAAAGCCAGCTGATGTGATGAATTCACACTGTGAGGGACTTACACGCATTCCCCAGTACACATACACACGCACGCATGCACGCAAGCATGCACGCATGCATACACACGCGCACACCACGCTCCCCTTCCTTGGGAATTGCAGGCAGCAGGGGAAGGGAGGCTACCCTTTTCTGATGACCTGCACTCAGCGAAAGGGAACCCATCCCAAAGCACGGCATTGAGTTAAACGTTAGCAAGCTCATTAGCAAGTACATTGTGCTCTCCTCCTAATCTCCAGACTCCTCCCTCTCACCTCAGAGTCACAAAGCCTTAAACTTGGGTCCAGCTGACTTCCTTTCAAAGCTTTTTCTGAGCTCAAATGTATGCTGTCCCACGCATAGGCATCTTCGCTTACTGCTTCCATCTCATGGCAGTTTGCTCCTGGCTTTAAGAAAGTCAGAAGAAACCGAAGCCGTCTTGTGCAAGTTTGGAGATGTGTACTAAATGAATCCCCAAATTTGCTGAGGTCACTGATTCCAGAAGTGGGTGTGGGGAGGGAAGGTAGTGTGCAATGATTGCTAGGGGGCTGTCCTGTTTCTCGGAGAATACAGGCATTTTATAATTCTGTTTGGATCATCTGAGAGAGGGCGGGAAGTGAGAAGAGTATAGCAAAGATGCTCTGGGGAAGGGGAGGAAATGGACGACTTAACTCTCAGGACAAGGAAAACATTCATTTTGGATCTCTGTTGTGGGGTTTGAACAACAAAAATGGAATGAAAGATTTAAGAGGAGGTTTTTGTTCAGGATCAAAAGGCCAAGGCCACGAGACAACATTAAGGAAGGAAAGGACAGACCAAGGAAGGAAGGAGGAGAGAACTGAGACACCAGTGCAGTAGTGATGGCATGATGAGGTGATTTTCTCAGCTTCCCAGAGGATTCTCAGCAAAGGATACGCATTATTTTGAAGCAAGTGGTGTGTTTACTTAGCTATTGGGTCATCTAGGACCAGCACACATCAGAATTTACTTCTTTTTTGTTGTGCTTGTGTTTGCTTTGCTTTGTTTTGAGAGGGGAAGAGGTAAGGGGACGGGTTTGGGGTTTTTTTGGTGTGTGGTGTTTTGTTTGTTTGTTTGTTTGTTTTGCTTGTGCTACTGCTGCTTCTACTTCTGCTTTGTGAAAAGCAGCCATGGAAGAAATATTTCAGAATGGGCAAAAGGGAAAGAAAGGAGCCCAGCACAGCCCTTTGGCTTCTCTTTCCACCCCAACACCGAATGAGGAGTCAGTAAGGGGAGAGTGAGAGAAAGCAGAAGCGAACTGTACCCATCAGAAACAAAGCATTGCATCCAGGCCGCTGCACTTCTCTAGTGGGCCCCTGGGCCATAGTTTCCATTAAAGAATGAAGCAAATTCATCAACAGCAAAGGAAGAGAAGAGCCGCATGTTGCAACTGGGGAAAGAAAAAGAAAGATGATTCCTGGGATGATTTTTAACCCAGTGCTCTGCACATAGTAGGCATTCAATAAATATTCAAAGAATGAATTCAGCTTTGCACGGGTCACTTACGCTAGATGGAAACAAAAATGAGCCCTGCACTTATGCATATACACTTCCTGCTAAATGTCAGCCCTTTTCCACTTGACTCATGTCATTTCTACCTTTAAAATGAGAGCTGCGTTGGCCCACATTGAATGTTCTTTCTTCCCTTGTCACTTCCTTCTGATACCATGGTTTGGACACTTAAAGTATTCTTAGCTTTACTGCTTCCTCCACACTGCTCAGCCTGCCATTCTAAAGGATGGAAAAGGCCATAACCACGGAGTGGCAACAGAGTTTCCTACTGAAAAAGAAAACAAAAAGCTAATGAACAGAAAAGAAGACTCGAAAACAAAGATTTTTAGGACCTAGCTTGTCAATATGTAAAGTGTAAGTCCAATACTCCCTTTTTTTTTTTTTTTTTTTTTTTTTTTT